CCAGAAGGTGGTGCTGGGGAACTCTGACATTTATACCATGGAGTCCCACAGGGCTCTGTCTTATTCCCCCATGCTTCAATATCTACATGAAACTGCTGGAAGTGGTCATCAGAAGGTGTGGGCTGATATCATTAGTACACGGATGACACTCAGCTCTACTTTTCTTTTTCATCTGACACAGGTGTGGCAGTAGCTGTTCTGAATGGATTGGATGAGGGCCAATAAACTGAAATTTAATCCAGATACTGTTGGTGGGGGCACTGTCTGTTCATATGGGTGATGTCTTGCCTGTCCTGTACAGGGTTACAATCCCCCTAAAGGACTGGGTTTGTAGCTTGGGTATGCTCTTGAACTCTGAATTATTGCTGGAATTCCAGGTATATTTGGTGGCCAAGAGCACCTTCTATCAGCTAAGACTGATGTATCAGCTGCATCCCTATCCGGACAGACTGGACCTGGCAACAGTTATTCACGCACTGGTAACTTCTTGCCTGGATTATTGCAATGTGCTTTATGTGGGACATCTCTTGAAGATGATCTGGAAACTTCAACTGGTCCAGAACAGGGCAGCCAGGCTGATTATGTGGACTGGCAGATATGATCATACGAAGCCAGTCCTGTACCACCTTAACTGGTTGCGAAGAGAGCTCTGTGCTCAGGTCAACATGTTAACATTAGTGTCTAAAGTCCGAAATAGTTTCGGGATGGCGTGTCTAAAGGAACACCTCTTCCCATATGAGCTACCCAACTCCTTAGATCAGCCTTCTCCAACCTTGTGCCTTCCAGCATGTTTGGACTGTTACATCCAGAATTCCCAGTCAATGGCACTGCTGGATGGGAATTCTGGGAGTTGTGGTCCAAATGCCTCTGAAGGCTGCCTTTGATTGTCATCTGAGGCACTTCTGCAGGAACCCCCTTCCGAGGAAATAAGAAGGGTGGCTACAAGAAGAACGGTCTTTTTGGAGTGGAACCCTGACTTTTGAATGAGCTCCCCAGAGAGGTTTACCTGGTACCCTCTTTGTATTCTTTTTGGTGCCTGGCAAAGACCTTTTTCTTTCACCAGCTTTTTGTTAGGTTGGTTTTAATGATGGTATATTTTAATACAGAGTGTGGTTATGTCTTTTATGTAATTGTAGGTTCTCTTAAGATGTGACATGGGTATGCTTTTATTGTTTTATGATAAACAGTTTAATATTGTGTTTTAACATTTTATGCAATCAATTATATGATTTGATCATCTGTAACCCACCCAGGGAGCAATGTGGCTAATGGGGCGGGCTAAAAATCTAATAAATAAATACATAAAGTGCAGTCACTGTGTATGCTAAATCCTCATTTCCCTGGAGGAAAGGAAGGAATATCAATAATTTAAAAAGAAGCATCCCCAACTAATTCTTAGGCAGATGGGCTTGTCTTTCTCTACAATAAAGTGTTCAGGCAACAAACCACCCACATATTCTTGCAGGTAGCCTTAAAAATGTGCAATAACTCATTAACTTTTTTTTATTACAATGATTTTTAAATGCTTTCTTAACTATCAATGCAGCACCCATTTTCCTGTAGGATTTCTGACCCTGAGAGAATGAGAAAGAGAAATAAAAAGAGAAACAGAAACAAAGAGAGAATATAAACGGCAAATTGGCTATTGTGAGAAAAGTGTGAAAGCATTTCTTCTATATTTACTTATTTTACATAATTCTTGGCTGCCTTTCAGGGCAGGAGACCTATTTATTGTGGCTACATATGTAGCTTATGTAAGAACAGTATATCGTTTCCTTCTAAGAGATGCTGTAGTGCAATATTCAACAGTTCTTTTCTCAAAAGCATGAGAAACTAAGCCATTCTTGGTACAGGAACATAATGAATAATAATAGTTTTTAGGATGTTCTGTGTCCTTAGCCCTGTTTTAATGCTAAGCAGGGATGTACATTTAGTATGTAGCCTCCAGGATGAAAGAAGAGTGGGCTGGCTGCAGACTGACTTGAGTCAGTGAGTGCTGAGTCCTCTTCATGGAAGCCAAAGCAAACACTTGGGTATTGGATGTGACCATAAATTAAATTCTCTTGCATTCTCTTGCAATCTAGTGTCACAGGTCAGGTTGCACTGTGAAGATTTTAAAAAGATTAGGGCACTCTATTGGTATAATAAATAGACTGTTGGTACATAAGATCAAACAAAAATCATTATTGACTTGTCAAGAATTGTTTCGTGTTGCCTGTCTCTTAAGTTATTGTATACTCAACCTTATAATTTAGTGGCTACAACCTCATTAGCCTTTCAATTTAGAAGCAATTACATTCTTTGGTGCTTTGGTTTAACCTGTAATAAAATAACCTGTAATTCTATACTTTCTATACTGCTGCTATGGACAGCAATAGAAGGTTTCCTAAAAGGGCCTACAGGATTTTGAACAATTTTGTTTAAGGGAAAATGGAGAGAGGGTTTTCACAGATAACACTCTAGTATGTCTAATCATCAATGAGCACAGAATTCTCAGGACCTTGAAAAACTGTTCACTGCACTTTGACCTTTCTACAGTTTGTTGTGTTACAACCTGGAATTGAAATGGATTTAACGTGATGTTCATAATGACACAAACATTAAGAAAAACAAACCAACAGCTGCTGGCTGCATAAGCATCAACCCACGTTGTTGCTAACAGGAATTATTTAGGCCTATCACAACTTTTATATTACTCTGTATTACAAATCCAGAATGAAAAACTCAATAAAGGACAGTAGTTAGAAGCTTCTTGCTTTGATTTCTAAGGAAAGGGAAAGTGGAGAGGCAAAAACAACTCTAGAGGAAAAACTGTTTCAGTCTGCATGGCACCTGTGTCTAGGTGGAGGTTCACGTTTCAGCAGGACAATAATTCTAAACATACAGCCAAAATAACATGGGAGTAGTTGCAAAACAAGAACTTGAAAGTTTTAGAATGGCCCAGTCAAAAGCTAGACCTCAATCTCATTAAGAATGTTTGGCAAGATTTCTGTAAAGCAATGGTCCCCACACAACCTGAGAGTTTAGCCATGAAAAATGGGCAAACATTGCAGGATCCAGATGCTCAGAGCTGATAGAGGCTTACCTAAGACAACATGTGGCTGAAATTGCCATCAAGGAAGTTTCTATTAAGTATTGACTTGGGTGTATGTGTGTGATTACTTAGGCAACCAAAAAATGCCAGTTTGGTTTTGTTTACATAACTTGTGTACAAGAATAAAAATATTTTGCATATTCATGGTGTTGAGTATCTTGTATATATCAAGTGGTAACAAGGCCAGATGAATCCATTTCAGTTCCAGCATATGTAACACAGCATATGGAAAAAGTTAAAAAGAGATGAATGCTTCTTATGTATATATTCTTACATAACCTGAATATTCTTACGCTAACTAGGCTGTCAGACTGATACTAATTAAAGTCATTTGGTATCTATACAGATTTAAAACTATTCAGCTTTCTTCAAAATTGATCTGATCCATTTGTTCCTACATTAATTATGAAGATTGCCCATCAGCAGAGGTAAGTGGATGGCTAACTGCATTTGTTTTCTCTTTAAATATATTATGAGCGAGAGGGCAAAGGAAGAGATTCTTTCATGCTGAGTTTGTATGTACTAATTCTGGAAAAGGCAAAGCTGCTTCATAAACAAGGCTGCAGTGGAATATGGTTTATAGCACATATATAATATTACATAATGTTACTTTGTTTGCAATAGTTAGCTACCATTTATAAAATGAATGTGTCTTTCTATAAAACTTCCAGTGCTCCATTGCCATTCCTTTGGGAGAAGGTTATCAGTGAGATGTGCCATGGCATTTTTATTTCTTGTAAAATGAAATGGCAGATATGCTTTGAAAAACATACTAATTATGACTTATTAGACTTCATCCAACCTAATAATTCCCAGGTGGAATTCAACAATTATGAGCATCATGAGAGAAGGACAGCCCCAAAGGTAAGTATTTTACACATTAAAGCAGTCTTCAACTGTAGTGACTCTCCAGCTATGGTGACATTTGGCAATGGCAGGAAAATGCGAGTGGATCTATGGATGTCAAGAGCACCTGCACCAAGCGCATATGAGCTAAATGTAATAACATAAAAGGATTGGGGTATTTACAACTGAAATCTCTGCTGGGCATCCATTTCAGGTTTACTTCTGCTTTTTTGCTTCCCCCACCCTCCCAGGTGAACAGGCAAGTAGCCTAGACCCATTTTAACATGAAAAAGGCTATTGGCTCTTCTAGGCTAGGAAGGTATTTATCATTTTCGGAGAAGGGTAAAACAAACATGCTGACTTTAGAATAGAATATTGTATTAAACAAGATAATAGAAGCTGTTCAAAGGAGAGAGGCTTGCATACCGCCTTCAGAACTGCAGGACTGTTTAACACAAGGATGTATTAATGATAAAGAGTTACATCTCCATCCTGATATGGAGCTGTTAGAAAAGGCTATCTCTGTTAGCATTAGTAGGCTGGAGCTTCCTCAGTAGAAAGGAATAGGTAGGAGCGTGTAGATACAACCTCCAATGAATGAATATGCCAAACATTGAACATACAGCTACACTAAACTGTGATCTAAACAACTACATAAAGACAAATCGTACTGGGTAATGAATGGGTAATGGATACCAAAGAAGAGATGAATTCCAGAAAGCTTCCATAATTACTGATAAAGTGGCTGATTTCAGAAGTCTCAGACAGTACCAATTATTTCTGTACCTCAGCTATGAGGAGTCAGTTTGGTCTAATGCAGGAAAATGCTCAGAAATGCGCTCTGTGGCAAGAACGATAGAGTGTGTTATTAGAACATTTTCCATTCTGCAATTCCCGCATCTTTTAAGATAAATATGAGAACATATGGGCAGCGTGTAGTGAAGCATTAAGAAGCTACAACAGGATATGTAGCAGGTGGCCTTCACCAATCTATGTAGTATACTGCTAAGCCTTTATAGTTGGTAGAAATAAAATTAAACATAGAAAGACAACATATGCAAACTTTATCAACTAGCAACATTTATTGAAAATACATTGTTTTCCCAGGGGCAGAAGTTGGATGTGAATCAGTGCTAAGAATAGACAATTCTATTTCCATAGGTTACGTTGCAGATACCATCATGAGGCATATAGACATACTTAAAAGGTTTACATTGAAACTTCAGAAAAGACAACAAAGGAAACAGCATTCAGTGAGTTGATTATAAACAAAGGAGACAGTCATGGCTTCATCAGATAAGGGTTGATCAAGAAAGAAGGTAAGCTGGGAGGAAGAAGAGAAATAGAAAAATTGCGACTCCACATAGCAGAGTTTCAAGAGCACTGGGTTCCCAAGAGCCAACAAGAGATGTTTTCTGTAACACTGATAGTGAAAGGAAAGGCAAAATGGCAAAACCACCAAGAAAATAAGAATAGAAAATTGTCACCTGTGCATAAGTAAAGGCAATAACAAGAGAGATGCTTGGCTGAGCTGGTAACAACTGGCTCTATAAAAATCACCCTACTGAACTGATTACTTTTAAAACAGGGAAAACCACGGAAGAAAGGTAAAAATTAAAAAGGCCAACCTGCAGCCTTCTATCTATTTGCTTGGTTTGATGCAGGCAAACAAGGGATTTGTAATAGCATGTTTGAGAAACTGTAGACTATACCAACTTACATTCAAGATGAATACACAAAGTTAGAGAAACAAGTTAAACTAAGTAAACCATAGTTACACTGCAAAACTGGCTACAATGAAATGGAGTGGTGGCCATCAATTTAGATGGCTTTAAATGATTAGACAAAGGATGAGGCTACCAATGAATTCTCACTCTCATGATTATATGGCATCTCTGATATCAAAGGGAATGTGCCTACGTAACAGCTGGGGAAAATCATCAGCAGGGTGCTGTTACAGTTGCATCCTACTTGTGGGTTTTCTGCAGGTAGTTCATCCACTACTGCGTAAACACAATGCTGGATGAGATGGACCCTTGGTTTGATACAGCATAGCTCTGCTTAAAACGTCAAACAAGACAGCAATAGACATGATTCATAGACTGTTTAGGCATTCAAAGGAACTTACAAGGTCAAGTATTTCACTATCTTTCCTCTGATAACAGATCCTTGTGCTTCATTAAAGATATTTTCTGAAGTTTGAAGGGGAAATTGTCCAACAGCACACGAGATTGTTTTAAAAAATAAAATTGGAGAGATATGTTACAACATTCTTCATATGGTACAAATCACCTTACCACTGAATAGAATTATCAGATAAAATGTAATTACCAAAATGGTCAAAATGGAACCGTTTGCCAGATGGGTGAATTAAACCAATGAAAATAAATGAAATGGTTATGAATCAAATGGTGGTAAACCAAATAGTTCTGGCTTGAAATCCACCATAGACTGGAGTACTAGAGTTGCTTCTTTAGTAAGATCTTTGTTCAGGTGTTCATCTGGAATCATGACCACTTGCATCCCAGCTGTCAGTGATGCCTTGACCCCATTGGGAGCATCTTCAAATACAAGACACTGAGAATTAGAAAGAAAAGCAAATTAGTAAGTGGAAAATCATTCTGTTACAACAGTATATTCAGCAGATAATAATTACTTGGCTTTAGTTCCTAGGACATTAGCCTTTGGGGAGGAAGTTACCATAAACAGTTTGCCAATGCATTTTTTAAACATCTGGTTTGGTTGTAACATCTTGTCAAGAGCCGAATACACACTGCTTCTATTAGGTAGATTTGAAGAATTGCTTTAATGGGTATATTAGAACAGTGGCATGTAAGATTTAAAGTTACAGGCCTTATAGAAGCACAATTAAATAAAACAGACAGGTCCAGAGACATGTTAAAGTACACCAGACTTATCTAGTATTATTTGCTCAACAGAATCTAGTGATTGCATGCTGGATGCAATTGAAGATGCAACATCTTTACCAGACCTATAACATTCCAGTGACTCTTTCTGATGGTTTGGAAACATTCTGCCTCCCTCCCAACTTCCTGCCCTGCAACTCCTGTATCAAAACAAAAATGCAAAAATTAAAGTCTCACTATACTGCCACCATCTAATTATACTGGACATGGGAGTGCTTCACGCTCTTCTATACAAGAATCTCTATGTTTTACAGGTATTGTTATCTGGATGATACGCCCGTGCCATAACAGTAACATGGGGTAAGCAGAAGGGAAAATCACACATGCAATGAAAATTTAGAATTTATTTTAAACAAATGCACTATTTATGGGGTATCTAGACATAGAAGAAAAAAAAATCTGGAAGTGGCAAAAGCATAAAAAGCAGGGCTCAAAAATGCCTTTCTATACTTCCAAGATGTTATTCTTCAGAAGAACAAAGCATGATCAGTAGGATGCATTCAGCAAATTAAGGAATTAATTTGGACAAGGTATGCTCATTAAATACAATTAAAAATGGCACTGTTTTGTTGTACTTATCATTATGAACACATCTGAGCTAGTAAAAAGGAACAGAGTTATTTCATGTAATATTAGCACAGTGCTTCAGCTATAACTATGCATTACTGTTGTCATTAAAAACTAAACATGTTACAGTCAAAATATTTTATACTGTTGCTTATGTATGCCTCAGTTCTTGGTCTGAGACAAATTCCAGAAACAAACCTTTTATTAAGCCATTCTTACTCTTTATTAAGCAACAAATTCTTTCTTATGCAATAAATACACATCAGTCCTGTATTTTGAAAATTAAATGAGTTCATGAGTAATGAATATCACTTCTTTATATTCTTTCTACTATCCTATTTTAGTTATTAATGTAAGAGTTCTATATCTGCAAAAGAGAATCTGTTGGTCTCCAGTTTGTCTGAAATGATCTGTTAGTATTGTAGAAAGCAAAGGTCAGAATAAAACAATCCAAGTGTTTACATTTATAAAATGGAAATACAAGCTCATAGTTCATATAAAATGTAACACACACATGGCTTTTTAACGCTACAGTTTTGGATACTATCTACATACTACATTCAGGAGAAACACATTTTATATTAACAAACAATATTTAAAAACAATCATAATTTCACTATACATTTTCCTTTCCTCTTCATCTAAATGGTTGCTGGAAAATATGGAAATTCTGCTGAATTTAGGTGTCAGAATCCCTATTCAGAAAGAGATTCTCCATAAGTTTAAAGATATTTGGAAGGACAGAAAAATGGGGCCTTGAAAACTGTCCCCCCATCAACGTCCATGTCCCTGTTCACTCCATACAACTTCCATACATTGGGTGGAAAGTCTGAAGACAATTATATGCATTCTCGGCTGGATGCACATGGGCTTGTGCTCACAATCAGAACATTTATAGTCAGTATGCTACTCCACTGGATCGCTTTGTGGATGAGATGGATAAACCACAAGACTATTGCCCTGGACAACTTGGAGAAGGGCATGCTACACATGAGATGAAAGTTATCTCAGAAAGCAAGTTATCTCAGAAAGATAAAGCACGTTACACATGAGATGAAATCTGGCTTGCCTCAGCATGTGAACAAGGAGCAGGGATGTGCTCTGTAGTCTGCCCTACAGCATCACATGCATTGTATCTGCCCCACTCCCACTGTTATCTGTGCATGAGGTGAGTATGGAAGGAAGGAAGGAAAAAAGGAGAAGAAAGAGGGTGTCTACAGCTGTAGTGGCAAAGGTACCCTGACCCCAGATAATCATGAGGAAATTTGGATGCCTGAAAAAGAAATGTGATATAGGCATATGTGATATAAAATAAACCTTATTTTAATGGCTAAATAGGACTGCAGATATTCTTGCTCACAGAATAGAAGGAATCTGGGATTATCGTGCTTAAAGAACAAAGTACTTATGTCAGATGCTATGTATGTAAGGTGAGAAATATATTAATAAAATATATCAGTCAGTGCCTGCTTTATTTTTTTTTAAATGGGGAACTTTATTTTTTCCCCCTAATATTCAATGGCAACTTGATGGACCTTCATAAGATTACTGTCAAACTCAGGTTCACAAGCTGTGTTTGTGTAATATGATTTGCTATATCAATGCAATGATACATTAAATGGGTATTCTGTTCTTGATAACTCTATTTGTCTTTTTATTATCACAGCTGAACGTGCCACAGTCAGAAGTACCTTAAAGATGCAGATACGTGAAATGGGTACAGACTTTAAACTGTCTCCTTTATGAATAAATGATTTTAAAAGTTTGCAGGTTGCAAATTTGACTAATTAACTAAATAAGAAATTCATAGAGAAAAAGAAGAGAATATTTGGATGCTGATTAGTATCTGGAAGTAATTTGAAAAAACATTTTCCCAAAGAGGAAAGCTACACCTCTGACTTACATTGACTAATATGGTATCTGTAATGAAACAATGATACCACCTACCACTGAAGATTCTTCATGCCCTATGCTGCTTAGTGCAAAAGGATTTCTATCCTTATGAAGCAAAGCTACATCACAGGAGGTTCCTAATAACACAGTTCCTATGGGTTTGCACCATACATTCTTCTCCTGCATGGATCCTGCAACATGCTCAGTAGGCGTGCATAAGGAAGCAGGACCAACACTGCCCAAACCTAGGTGGTTATATACTTAAGAGATTAGAAACAGAATCTGTCTGCCAAACTAACTCAGACAGATCTGCCCTAAACAACAACTAATGGCCTGATTCCATTACCCAGCTCTGGCTTTTCTGGAAATGAAATATAGGAAGAAAGTAACTTAAAGCTTGAAGAAAGGAAAGACCAGTTCATGTTAAGAAAATGATTTTAAGGGATACCAGTGGAATTAGTGGCAGAGTTGAGTTTTAATTTTGCATGTCTTAACCAATGGATCAGAATTGAAGGCTCTCATGGTAAATCCTGAGATGTCTCCAGGTTTGGCAGAATTGAAAATATGAGCAAAACAAATAAAAGTAGGGCTACAAAAAGATGTGAGGCAATCGTTCTGTGTGACCAATCCTGTACAGAAATGAATATTCATAACAGTACAACAGAACACCATGTACTCAAAAATAAAAGTTGATAGGTATTGAGTAGCACAGTTCACAGGGTTTCATTTTACCACCATTGAAACAAAAACAACACAATTGTTGGAATTCCAGTTTTTGAAATAATCATGTGGTGGTTATGATATTATATGATCAATGGCATTTCAGATTCTCATCTAAAATGTGAAGAACGTCCTTTCCTAGTAAGAGTATCTGAAAGCTATCTGTCACATTGATGGAACATGCTTTTAGCCTTGGATCCAGAAGTTTGGTGAAAACCTATGTAGGCACTTGGGAAAAGTGTGCATAAAGAGAAGTCTGAGCAATAAAGATAGAGATGTGGCTTGCTACCACTTCCTACAATCATCCAACACCTTTTTGGGGTGGACTGCTTCAGGGACAGTCTGGGTGGTATCATCTCAGTTATCCTACTGCTAGAGTAACTGATTAGGCTTCCCATCCCAATTCATTTGCTTCTGAGCAAGCCAAAACAGCTCTCTGTTTCATATGTCTCCTAAGTCTTCTTCTGTTCTTGCCCGGAACTTCTGTGCTAGTGCTGTTTCTACTATTGTTTCTCAGACTACATGTAGAGACGTAAGGGGAAAAGGGCCAGGACTAAGGTGAGAGCTGGTTCATGTCTACAGACAGGTAAATTTAATATTCAGATTTCCAAAGTATCTAGTGTATATGAACCAGATACCAATGTCAACTGTATTTGGACAGGACCTGAATGCAACATGTCATTTTTGTGTGTGATTTCTTTTTCATATAGGGGAATAGGTATCTTATGAAAATAAATATATTGGCGAACAATGATTGAACTATATTAATCTAATTGATGTCTTTTCAGAAATATAATAGGCCAAGATTTAAACCTAACATGAATTCTTTTTAACTTCCTCTTTTATAAATCATCTTTGCATGTTCTCAAAATTCTTTCATTCAATTTTTATTTTGAGATGAAGATTAAAGCATTCACATCTGATGCTCAGAATGCTTTTCAAAATCTTCAATGAGCTAATAGCAAATATTCATGTTTTATACGAAGTGAAAAAAATTAAAAACCAAATGCATATTTGAGCTAACGTAGGGTTTTAATCTGAATCACAAATCCCAGCCCTCCACACTACACCTCCGAAAATAACTGAAGTGTTGCTCATGATAATGCCTTAATACTCTTTCAGTCACAGACTACTGACCACTGCTACTGCTAAAAATAAGGATCCAACAAATTTTGTTATGCTTTGGAGCAACTGCTGTAAAATGGAGCTCTCCTATGTGCAGGTTTGTGGACAATATGAGTCAGTTTGAGTCATAAACCCATGTCTTTTAATTTCCCATTCCATTCAGAAAGCAGAGAAAGGAACAACTCTGACATATATGACCTTTAAATATTTCTGCATTGTACATAATCACATCATCGAGGCTGTTCAGGAAATTCTTCTTTAATGCACACTGTAGAAATAAATGTACTTCTGACCTTCCCTTGATAGACCTTATTGACTACAATGATGTCATTAAGCTTATTGTGA